GTGCATTCACACTTAAAGTGTATACAAACCCTGACAGTGAACTTTTTGGCCTGGTAAGTATAACATTGAAAGCATTTTGTAATAAAGTGCAGGAAGCAACCAGAACAGAGTAGGGCTTCGGTCACACAGGGCGATCTGGTATTCCTGCGGTAGGAACTTAGATTCCTATGGAAGGAATGCCAGGTGTCCTGGTTCAGAGGCAGCCGCTGTACCCATTGAAATTAATGACCGGGTGACAGCGGCTGCATGTGTTAGCGACAGTCCATATGTAATCGTACATGGTACAATTACATTAGGTTTAGAATAGAGGATTGTCACTGGACGCAGGACAGATGCCTCTGACAGATATGACCGCCATCATCTGGGATAACAGGGTTGCCTTCTGAGAACCAAAGCCAACACGTAGCCTGCACTGCTGCCTGCTATTTTACCTTTATACTTTTTGTAGTACAAAATATATCCACCAGTGATGGCGCTCTTCTGTTCCAAATATGCCAGAAAGGCAGGTGGAGGAAATGTATTTAAAGGACAACTTTTCACAAAAAGTACAGTTGTCCTTGAAGATCCCCCTTGATCATCAGGGACAACTGTACTTTTTGTGAAGTTGTCCTTTAAATAAATTCCCCAACCTCCTGAGTGTAGCCCACCTAATAACATACTTACCTCCAGCCATGATCCAGCAGTTTTCTCTGTGTGGCCATGCACAGCCTTCACGAAGGAAAACCTCCTGCCGGCTTCCTTCTTATGGGAGGTCCATACAAATGCCAGCATCCACCAGAGATAAAACCCAGACACGCAATCATATTGTCAACTCACAAGCCTAACAATGCCCCTTTTCACTATAGGACAACACAAATTTCAAATATTTCCAGGCTCAAGGTCAGAGATAGCCTGGCAACTAGCATCTTCAGCACTGGCAGTCTCTGCATATTTTTTCAGTACAGGTTCTCTTTAAATGTAACCAACGCCAAGCATTAGGAAATTGTACCGAAAAGATAGTATATGTTTGCAGTATCAATTAAATCAGCATTTCAGGCAGGGACCCAGGAGTGTGCATTGGGTTTCTTATAAGCCTTATATTCCCCAATAGTCAATGCTGAGGAGCCCTATCTGGGAGAAGTAAACAATATACTAGCTGTTAATGTTAATATTTTTATTCCAGATGTTGGCCTGTCCTATCAGGCTCTAAAACAAAACCAGAGCCAGGGGGTCTACCATGGAGAATAAGAAACTCACTTTTATTACTTCAAAAGGGAGAAGTACTCAGAATTCTACAATCTCTCTAGCAGAAGAATAAGACCTTATGTGAGTTTTAGGAGCTGGTTTAAAAGGGTCTCTAGCACAACTTGAATCCAATCTTACAGGGTAATGTGTATCATTACTTTCCTAATGTTCAATTTACAGGTGTTAAAAAAAATATATATATATATATTTCTGATATACAACTGCTGTTCAAAAACATCACGAATGCACATCAAAGGCCTCAAAAACATTTTTCCTAAATGTGTTCTTGTAGGTATAGAAAAACTAGTGCACTGAATGTACATGTAATAATAATAAAAAATTCAACAATATCTGGTCTGCACAACAAAATAATAACCAAGCTGACAATTTAATTGTTGATCCATATTTTTGCATTCCACGCAAATAAAGCAGATCTGATGTCTCTTAATGTGATAGCTAAGAGTTTCAACAACAGGTAACACATTAATGTGACCCATCTCAGGTCATCAAGACAAGGACCAGCATTTCATCTCATGGGAATTCCCACCTTATGGTTCATATTCCTGGTGGATGCTCCCAAGAGATCCCTGATGGGCGCTTCCAACAGATTCCTGGTGGGCGCTACCAACAAATAGCAACATGTTTTACCTATTCAAAGTCGGATTCACATCGTTGTTTAGGCTGCCCATTCATTTTTAGTTATCTGACAACGCACGTGAACCTTTTCTCCAAACATTGAGCATCACAAAGTACATCTGTGCACTGAGGTGCCACCACAACGCAACAAGAGCTGTGCATTAACGTGTTGCAGTAAAGTGCACTTTTTTCTGCAACACAAGAGTGTGAATCCACCCTAAATGCCAAGCAAAGATCGGCAACACAAAACAACCAAAGAAACTTTAGAGTTGCTAGCAAAAACGTAAAGCTGAACTCTGGGAATTACACAAAAACTACCCATGCAGTGGGAGCCCTCTGTTAAATGCTCCTTAGGTCCTGGGGTTAGAGAAATAGGTTTTAACACTTACCGTACTACTTCCAGCAGGTTTTGGCGCTCACCTCTGCTCCCTGACCCTCTAAATTGTAAGCGGTCCCTCGCTGTCCCCATGTGCAATGCAGGGTGATGTCAGCATGCAACCACCGACTAGAGCATCTTAGAGAAGAGGCTTCAGAGAAAGGTCACACAGAAGGAGGGAGCCTGCGAAAAGGGTAAGAATTTAACCCTTGCAGTGTGGAGGATGGGGGGGCATTGCAAGGCTAGTTTTTCTGGATTTCCCATAGTTCAGCGTTAACGATTACCCATGTAATGCAAATATTATATTAGACTCAAAAAACAGAACCCCCCCCGACGGTGATTTTTTTACGGATCCCCGCTGCCACAGACCCTACAAGCAGCGGGGATCCATGTGAGTTACTGTCTTTGCCTCACTGATGTAAACCTGTCATAAGACTTTTCTAAAAAAAAAAAGACACACTGGCTTCAATTGTGTGATTCACTAACTCAGTACAAGCATACAGATCAGGAATGTCAGAGGGAAGTCAAAACTTATTCCAAGTCAGAAACTCCAAGTGTAGACATGATAGGCAGACAGCTAGCATCTTCAGGAGTGGTCAACAGTGACAGCCTGTGTCTGTCCTAGATGGGTTCCATTAAAGAACTCCGGGGAAACATTTTTTATTAACCCTTAGGGCCTGTTCACACGACGTCCGTTTTCTGTGCTGACCTGATCCGTATGCCCCTGCACTAAAAATGCATCCCAATGTATCCCTATGTGTTTTATGGGCTACAGTTCTCACGTGCGCTCAGGTCACGACAAAAAAAATACTGCATGTCACATTTTGTCCGGTCAGGAAACGCAAAACGCGTCAAAAACGCACTGCACTGCAGCTAACATACTGACAGCCCCACTCGAGAAAAAAAAAAAAATTTTTTTTAAAACTGGAACGCATCAAAGACGCGGCAAAAACATAGCGCTGCGTCTGCAGATCCGCACCTGAAAATCAGGTGAACAGGCCCTTACAGTGGGGCTACTGCCAACACTGCAAGGGTTAACTTGTTTGTGTCTAGGTGCTACAAGAAAAAAATTTTTTATACTCACCCCTATAACTCAAGCCGGCTTGTTCTTAGAACGGTCCCTAAAGCCTCTCTCCCCCCTCCTCTGCAGCGCTCTTGTGTTGTCATCACGTTCTATACATAGTGTATAGACATGAGGATGCTGGGAAACATTCCATTTGTGCAGAAGAGGAGACAGGCTTCAGTGACCGGAGAAGCAAGGAGTCCCCTCAGCCCCTCGGGGGAGTTTAACTTAGCACCTAGACAAAAACGGGCAGTTGTGTGGGGTTAGCCCCACTGCAAGGGTTAATAAAGTTTCTTGTGAGTGTATTTACACTTTCGCAGCCACACTGGGATAACACCTACTTTATATTTGTTACATGTTCCCATTCACATAGCGTGGAATATTTAATAATTGCTGTTTTTTTGTTTGTTTTTTAATGCTCTTTTATGAAAGCTCCAACTGAAAAATTCTTCTTAGCGCTCCCTTACTATGTAATGTTAAAGAGGGGGCTGGGGAGTTGTGTTTACCATAGTTAACCCTGTCTGTACTGTGCTGGCAGATCTTCCTTATCAGTTGTAAACTAGATGAACAGGACTGTCTGTCCTAACAAAGGGTTAAGATCTCAAGGCTTGGATGTAACATTGTATATGAATACACCGTCTGTCCCTGATCTACACATTGCCATCTACTCTAAACAGTAGAAGCTGTCTGCAGTGTCCTATGTATAATCCTGCTCCAATGAAACAACTAGACATGTAAGACATTTTTTTTAAATTATTTTGCGGTATTGTGTGACTGGGAAAACATAACATATAGTGGGGGTTTGTCAAATATGACAACACAGGGCTCACGCACTCGGACATAACAATTGGGAGCCACCGATGCTGCGTATGGCCTCCAATAGAAATCATGGGCTGCACAGGGTTTTACAGCAGTATTTAGGTAAACACGTGCATGCATACTGACATACAACCCTGGAGTCGGACTGTCTGCGTCCATCGGACTGTATACATTCATACAGATGCATGTGTTTAGTACTGGCATATCCCCGAGCACAGCACCTGTGGCTCCCGGGCAGATAAATACACCCAAATTTTACATCGTACGGCCCCAGGAAGTAACAATCAACACATTAGGTTACCAAATATTGATACTTCCCTGTTATAACAACCTTGAAAGGTTGTTGTGTGCATCAAAACCTGTATAAAGCTCCCCAGCACACATTATGATGTGATTGTACAATTTCCCATCTACCAACAACTATGTAGTACAAGGTCCTGCCTGACTGGATACAGATTGATCAGATAGATTAGGTAGGCTCTTATATTACATAGTTTGGGTAAATGTAAAGTTGATTGAACCTTGTATGGTGACCCTAAGAGGTAGCATGAACAAGGACAAGCGGAACCTAGAGCCACAGGTTCCACCATGATTATAATCTACAGAAACACTTCTGCCTGGATCACTATGAGACAGGAAAACAATCTCTCCTCTGTCTGATTTCACGTCCCTTGCAGCCTCTAAATCTGATTTAGTACATTTCTCCCATACAGGATGACACGTGATACACACACACACACATATGTAATCAGATCGGACGATGAGCAGATCCCCCTTGCTGCGTACGGCCTTCCTAGTGAAACATTCTAGGATCACACAGACACACATAGGCTCCGTGCCCTGTGATGAGAACACATGAAGACAGGATCATGCATTACATACATGTACATAGGTGTGATGAAAACACACAGAGGAGGGGGGAGCTGTCACTCGGCCACCCGGGCTCTTCTCCCCTCACCTGGCCCCAGGCCTCGGTCACACAGCGGCCTCTTTGTGTCTGACGGCTCCCCCGGGGTGCTGGTGCTCTCGGCCTCCTCCTCCTCCGGCTACCGGACGTGACGAGCAGACCGGGGGGCGGATGAGGAGACGGCAGACAGAAGGGGGGTTGGAAAGGCGGCGGAGGGGGCGGAGAATACTGAGCCCTGGCAGACACAGCCGCTCCAGACACGGCTGGTCGCCTCCTCTACTGCTACTATAGTCACGCCGCGCTGCCATTGGCCAGTTCCTCTCTGTTTTTGATTGGCCAAGTTGTCTGGCCGCTTGCAGCGGTGCTGTTTGTGATATAGGATTTGTGCCAGTTCTACAATAACAAGCAGAGTCTGGGAATAACAGGCTCGGCCCTCTATTCGCTCGTAATAGATGTCTATCTCCGCCCACGTTCTAGCGTCGTGCCCGCGCCCCAATGTCACACGCACGAGCTTCCCCATTCAATGGAAGAGAATTGTGAGTAAACTGATAGACAAGCCCCGCCCCTTTGTCTTCTGCTCGCCCCGCCCACTCCTGTCACCTAGGCTGATGGCACTTGCTGCAGAATAGAGCAGAGTCGTTCAGCCGAGATATTGATCCACACTGCAGAGGATCTACATTACCTTCTAGCAGAGGCCATTGTACCTTTCACTGCTTTGTTTAGAACAAAAGAGGCTTTTTTTCCACAAAGCTACAGCACCAGCATAGGGATCCTTATTTCAAAAATGCATTTTGCTTTTAATTTTCATTGTACACTTCTGTCAAATGGGAAAATGCACCCTTTGAATACAGGGGATACTCCCAATCTGAACTCTGATACTTCAGGCCACCCTGCTTAAAAAAAAACCTCTGGTCACAGGTAACTCAGTGCTAGAAGATTGCTCTTTACAAGTCTCCAATAATGTAGGCCAGAGAGTCTCAGACACACCCATCACTCACAATAAAAACACTGAGGTGTCATATATGTGTTCACACCATGCTATCACAGGTTCTTATAACCTACAAGGCTGATCTAAAGGCAAGGAGGGCTTCCTAGTTGATCAGAACAATATGTTATTGATTAGTGCCCTAAGGCTAGGTTCACACCTGGGCGTCTCCTGACCACGCGGCAATCGTGCACAGAACTGCGCGGATTGCCGTGCAGTCACGGAGTAGCCCACCGCAGCCGATCGCACTGTGGGTGCCATTATTTTCTAATGGCACCCCAGTCACACCGGGCAGATTGCGTGGTTTCGCTCTGTGCGGATCGCACGGTTTCCCGCTGCGATTCCGCCCCGATCGTGGCTAAAAAAAGCAGCGCGTCGTAAAAAAGGTACTTGTACCTTCTTTTAGCGATTGCCGTGTGGATGTAACCCGATTGAAATCAACAGGGCCACACGGCAAGCGCTGTGTGCACTAGCACACGATCGTGCGGTCCCGGGACACGCGTCCCTTCGTTCGCTTAGGTCTGAACCTAGCCTAAATCAGCGACATTCAGCTTGCTGCAGGCACCATCAAGTGGATTAAAAGCTCATAGCATGGTTCTGACACCATCATAATTTGGCAGAGCCTGAGCCAGTGTCATGGGATATCCACTGACACCATGCCAGGGGCATTCTTCCCCCCATTAACCCCCAATGCGAGGGTATTTCCTGGCACTAATAATTAGTTATCCACATCAGAATGTCCCCTTAAATTGATTGTCCCTATGCAAATGTCCCTTATTTTTATATAGTTAATGCTAGGGAGCACCCTCACAGGGACAACCAATGTAAGGGGGCACCCTGAAGGGGACAACTAATTATTAATTGTCCCCATTAGAGTGTCCCCTTACATTGTTTGTCACCGTTACAGTGCCTCTTTATGTAGGGGAACAAAGGTAATTTAAGTGACTTTGAACATGGTATGGTTGCTTGTGCCAGATGGGCTGGTCTGAGAAAATATCCAGTGAGTGTCAGTTCTCTGGTAAAAAAAATGCCTTATTGATGCCAGAGGTCAGAGAGAAATGGCCAGACTGGTTCAAGTTGATAGAAAGGCAACAGTAACTCAAATAACCACTTGTTGCAACTGAGGTAGGCAGAATACCAGCTCTGAATGTACAACATGTCGAACTTTAAAGATGGGCTACGGCAGCAGCAGATCACACCGGGTGCCACTTCTGTCAAGGGCTCACCAAAGTTGGACAATAGAAGAATGGAAAAACGTTGGCTGGTCTGATGAGTCTCGATTTCTGCTACAACATTCGGACGGTGGGGTCAGAATTTTGTGTAAACCACATCAAAGCATGGATCCATCCTGCCTTGTATCAACAGTTCAGGCTGGTGGTGGTGTAATGGTGAGGGGATACACACTTTGGGCCCCTTAGTACCAATTGAACATTGTTTAAAGGACTCCTATCTTGTGGGTGTCATAACACGGAATCTAATCAAGCAGTGTCATTGTCCTTTCAAATGTCTGCAAAACAAAATACTGATTTATCTCAGAAATGAAAAATAAATCCAGAACAGAACTCAGAGCCCGGGGATGATTTCATTGATATGCTACTGCTCTTTCATTGTTCAATCACAGGTTCGGATGGGTACTGGACCAGGCTGTACTGCCTAACTGTAATGCAGCCTGCATGGAGGTAAAGGACTATTTTTAGATTGCTTAGTAATGCGTTTGCCTAGAGATGCCAGAATGTATCTCCTGCATACCTTATCAACAGCCTTTTGGTGGCCTTGGCATATAATGTAAAGGAAGTGGCCTATCAATCCTCTAGGAATACCTTGCATTACTGTGTTGTATGGCACTTCCTGCCACAGTAATGTCAGTATTTTCTTGTGATCTGATAGGCTGACTGTTCAATGTGTACATATGGTCCACTTCTGCACTGTAATCTTAAAGTAACACTAAACTCAAGAGATAAATCTTAAAAATGCATTCAAGTACCTTAACTATTAACAAAAATGTATGTTATTTGTGTATCACTCAGCTGTAGATCCTCAAATCATCTCTGAATTGGTTTTTCCTTCTGGAGGGTGGCTACTTTTGTTCCCCATGGTCCCTGTGTGAGATGTAAAGTAATCACCGCTCCAAGCTGGCTCCAGTGATGGACTACAATCGCACATTATTAATTTGTATTGAGACTGTAGTCCATCATGGGACCATGGGGAACAAAAGTAGCCACCCTCCAAAAAAAAGTACAGAGTCAGCACGAATTCAAAAATGATTTGAGGATCTACAGTCGAGTGATACACAAATAAGATACATTTTTGTTTATAGTTAAAGTATTTGAATGCATTTTTAGGATTTAACTCTTGAGTTCAGTGTCATTAATTATATGACTGCATGTGGCAGAAGCTGGTAGCTCTACATTCCTTCATTGCTATTAAAATAATGAAGTTGATCTACAAATCCTGAGAGATCCATAATGCTAGGGGACTCCCCGCTTTCCATGTACACATAACTATGAATTCTGATATAGAATATGGGGACAAGATAACGTACACAACTAGAAAGTCCTTATATTTTGAAATAAACACATTTGACTCCAAAGAAAGGGGCATGGTACAACTCTAAAAACACAAAGCTGGAAAAGAGAGAGGATATGAGAAAAATCCCAAACCCATTATCCAAGAGGAATAACCAACCCCACCAGCCCTATTCCTCGATGAAGAAGCTAGGCCCCTTCCACGATATAAGTAACCACCCCTATTCTGTAATAGCAGTAACCAGTCCCATTACCAACAGGAACAACCAACATCATCAATCCCTATTTCTGGATAGGAGGCACTAGGCCCACTCATTCAATATATATAACCACCCCTATTCCCTAATAGCAGTAACCAGCCCCATAACTAAGAGGAACAACTAACATCACCAGACCTATTCCCAGATAGAAGGCACCTGGTCCACTCATCCATTATAATTAACCAGCCCTATTCTCTAATAGCAGTAACCAGCCCCATTACTAAGAGGAACAGCCAACATCACCAGCCCTATTCCCAGATAGGAGGCACTAGGTCCATTGCGCTGATATATACATAACCAGGCCTATTATCTTATAGCAGTAACCAGCCCAGTTACCAACAGGAACAACCAAAACCAGAGAGAGAGCAGAAATCCTAAGTGTCGTCTGCAGCACCCAGTGAAATGTATTTATCACGTACGTGGTGGAGGACCGATTTAGCTGGGGAGGCCTCCCTTGCGGTTCTTGTCTCACACTCCTGGGAGTGGCAACAGGGAGCGAGTAGACAGAGAGGAGCACGGGTGCCAAGGTGTTCAGACACGGTGCCTGGTAGAAGTCCAGCCACTGGGTCCCTGGAAGGATGAGCAGGGCTGGTGACAGCTGAGATGTCAGCGTGGATAGCAGCGGAAACTGGAGCAATGTCAAACAAGCCAGGGGTCAAGGCCAGGCGGTCAGCCAGGTACAGAAGGAGCAGGCAGAGGCAGAATCCAGATAACAAGCCGAGGTCAGGGGCAGTCAGCAATCAATCAAGGTCAGCAGCAATCTAGGTCAAGGCAACAGGCAAACAAATAGCAGGAACACAAGGCACAAGCTGAAAGACCATTCAGCACTGATCCATTGGGCCAGCTGGTTTAAATAGGACCATCCATTAGAGAGCACCGTGTCACTTCTTGTGCGCCACTTTCCGCTGTGAGCGTGTGCGCACTAGCGCACGTTTTCTGGCAACCTGGAAGGCTATATTATTTCAAGGTCACCTGTTACTATACAACAGTTTTAGACTTAGTCCTTCTTCAGCTATAACATGTACAGTATACATATATCAGATACAATTTGGATACATAAAAAAATAAATAAGAAACAAAACAAATAAAAACCCTTTACGCCTTATAGAAAGGCTATAATTATAAGCTGGTTGGCTTTTTCCACATAGCTCCAGATTCTGTCTGCTCCAGTTTTCATAAATTCCCCCCAATGTTTTATTTTATTTCTCTAAGTTTAAATCACCATCCATCTTATTAGGATCCCCAAGAAGACCAACCTTTCATTCTGGATCCATCAGATCATTCCATTCACATCAAAGGATGATGCACACAACAGAGCAGGAGTACTGTTCCAGGGCACATTTCAGGTGCCATTTCCCTGGACATCACCGCTCAAGAGATAGAATGGACCCATACTATAGAAGAGACCACAGAAAGGAGAAAGATTACCATCAAAGAACATATTCCAGATGCCACTCACTTGGCTACTGCCGCTCCAGAGACAGCACTGAATCACACCACAGGAAGCATCAGAGAGAGGAGCAGGAGATTTATCGCAGATCACATACCAGGCACCATTCTCCTAGATACTCCCAAGATCAATCCCAATCACACCAGAGGAAGGTCCACAGAGAGGAGCGACCTTACCATTCCAAGACGCATTCACCATCCTATTCTCGGGGACATCACCTATCCCATCCTATTCTAGCCGGAGGGAGTGATCTCCATACAGTAGACACCATCCATAGTGATGCAGTACTCTTCCAGGGTACATTCCAGATGCCATTCCCCTGGACACCACCGCTCAAGAGATAGAATTAACCCATACAATAGAAGAGACCACAGAAAGGAGAGAGAGGACTATCAAAGATCACTTTCCAGATGCCACCCACCTGGATACCACCGCTCCAGAGACAGCATTGAATCACTCCAGAGGAAGCATCACAGAGAGAAGCAGAAGCATTATCACAGATCACATTCTGACACTCCCAAGGTTGATCCCAATCACACCAGATGTGGCATTCCCCTATACCACCAAGGTGTGTGACTGGCCAGCAACTAAGGGGATGTCAGAGTGGAAAATTAAAGGAGAATATCACATTTGCATTCCTGAACATAGACAATATTGTAATGAAGGCACTAACATTTTTCACCTACCTCTTTACTGGAGAAGGGCAAACTAGAACGTAGACAATGTACCAATTACCTTTGCTGAACAGACCAAAGAAATATCTAACAACCAAATAGATCCCAATTTGTGATCATTCAGATCATCAGAATGGAGGATGTGGTTTGTCTACTCTACACTTACTACGCTAACTCTAACTAGATGATCTTTGCAGAATTTCTCTTTAACATCAAGCTGAGAGATTTAGTTGCTAGTGCGGGGAGGTTGAAGACTGCAATGTAAAGTGGAATTCTGCAATAAATCATTCACATTCCAGCCAAGAGCAGAGCTCTAATGTCCCTGTGGATTAGATTCACAGTGGAACCCATTCTTGGTTGTCATTGTTCCAATTCCAACACTTATGATAAAGTATCCATTCACACACAGCCAATCACTGGACATACTGTGTGCTTCTACACACATACACATGCCTGCCAATCACTGAACATAACCTCACATTGTGTTATTCACTGCAATCACAATTCATTGACCCATCTATTGTATCTATACCCATAAACAATGAATATACTAAAGACAAAGCAGGGCACGGAGGTATTTTTTTCATTCTAAACTAAGTTGGGCTCCTTCCATCAATCTATGCTATGTGAAGTTCTTCTTTACCATTAAGGTGTGTGATTGGTTGACTAGTGAGAGCAGATGGAGGCCAAAATGTGATTGAAATTCCACATCTGCCATTCACATGTGATCCTGAGTAAAGATCTCATACCACTATATAGCCCTGGAGTCTGGATTAACTCTCATGGTTCTGACTGTTCCAGTTTCTGTACTTTGTACAATATGCCTGCCAACACATAGCCAATCACTATACATATTTTGTATATCCAACAACCACACAACCACACGCAATGACAAGGAGTGTGACTGGTCGGCTAGAAGGGGAGGTTGGAGGCCGCAGTTTAGAGGGAAAATTCACATATGACTTACTACAAACCAGCACAAGGTGAACTTATCTTGCCTCTACATATAACAACCAGGAACCTGGAACAATTAATTAATTTATGATTCTTATTGTTCCAATTCCTCAATATGAGCACAAAACAGAGACACACACACAGATCTTCATACATACGGAGCTTATACTTAAATACTAAGCCAATCACTGAACACCAGTGTGTAGACAGCAAGCCTCAGCTATGGGCATGTTCCAGAAGTAGCAGTGTACAGCAGCCATTGTTAGTAGATGAAGAAGACCAGTTACCTATATAATAGATCACATGTAATCAAGGCCAAGACGACAGATAGGCAGGACAGGCAGCTATCTCAGTTTCTGTCAGGTGCAGTCGGTGCAGTGTAGTTATATACTCAACAGCCCCACTGTAGCAGTGCCCGCTGCATACTCCAAATCTGGGCCAGAACTGAATCAGAAATGATAGCCAGCCCGGACTCAGAGTCAAGACTTGGCAGTCATGTAGTCCCTGCTGCAGAATTATGAATATGAATCTAGATGGCTGTCATTTTTACCCCCTGTGTCTGCTTAAGCGATAGCTGGCTGGGTACAGTGAGCTGTGCATGCTGCAGGCTCCGAAAGTAGCCTGTTGTCATTTCCTCCCTGTGTACCTTTAGACTCCTGTACAGGCACTTGGAGAGTGGAGGCCCAAAGTAGTGTGACAACACTACGTGCCCCGACTACAGAAAGGTGGCCAGCCAGTCACATGGTATGGAGAAGCTTGGACTGAACATAGGGAAGCTGAGGCGTGTACAGTTGCTCAGCTGCTACGAGTGCTGAATTAGCAAAACGCCGCTGACCGCTGTGCTGCAAGTCAGGGCTCAGCACTGCTAACTTAGCACTTGCAGCGGAAGTAAATGTGGACGCAGAGCGCTGAGTGTCATGGTGAAGGTGGGGACAGAGCACCAGCGGCCATTTTAACTGTTGGTCCACCTGGCAGCACTGGAGAAAGGTGTCTGAACCCCGATGGAGGAAATCAATACAGTGTAGGAACCTACAATTTAATGTTTTGGTGGACGAGCACACCAAATATTTCTTGGAAAATGGTATTTATTAGTCAAAAATATTATTCTCTGCCATTTTGCTTAGCACTGTGCAGCCGTAGCGTTCAGAGAATTGGCTGCAATGAACACAAGTGCTGCAGAACAGCTACTCAGCGCTTGGCACAAACGCAAGCAACTGTACACGCCTCAGGGGGACTGAGGGAAGGGAGCATGATTCACAGCTGCAATAGCTCTGAGGTAGCTGTGGTGGTGGTCTGAGACAATGGTATTGCTGCTTCCAGGCCTACAACCTGAGAAGAAGAAACATATGCATGGAGCCCACAATTTAGCACAGTTTTCTAATAAATTGTTACAGTCGGGTTGGCTTCACACCTATGCATCGTGGTAATGTGCGGTAAAACATATGTTTTACCAATTGTTACCATAATGCATGCCACTCTTCATGGTGCACTGTGCTGTCGTTCATTTAGAATGCATAAGTTTAGCATGTGCTTTGTGATGCACTGCAGTGGAGGTCTGCCCGCAGTTGTTGTACTTATGTGTTGGGGTGCCAAGGACTGCATTAAAAAAATATAATGTAGATTCTGTTTTCCCTCCATTGCGGAGTGTTGTGAGCCCATTCTCAGCGAGTAGGCTGCTTTATTGCAATGCACAATAACGAACAAAATACCATACAATAACATGTGTACATTAATGCACCACAACAGAGTCCGTTTACAGCCTGCGCCGTAAGGGAAAGGGCATTGAAAGGGTTATGCCCCACTGATGTCATCACGTACAATGCAGGTACCATAGATTGTCCATTGAGGACTGTTATAGGCTGGTTCACAGTCTGCTCAGAGTCTTTTTTCAGAGACCTTATGGACTCTAAAGAGGAAGAGGATGTCCAAGAAGATTTCCTTTTTCCCCCCTCTCCCTTTTGTGTCTTCATCCTTCAATAAAGCTCTGCGCCTATGATCTCTTTTCCCCTCCCTTATCCCTCTTTGCTATCCCCCATCACACCCCCATTTTATTTGAAGGTTTAATGTATATCAGTTGTTTTTCTTTTTTATTGCGGTACCACGTAGGACGTGCGGAACTGTTTTTTTACTCTGGCACTGCACGTCTGACATTACACCGCAAGCAGGGCTGGATTTTCCACAAGGCCAACCAAGGCCCGGCCTTGGGGAAGCATGGAGTAGAGGGGCAGCAGGGGTGTGGAATTCCTATCTTCCGATGCATTTCCGGGCGCCGGTGGGTAGTTGTTTTCTACATTTAGCCCTGCTTGTAGGGGGGTGCATTGAGGAACCTGGCCTTGGGGCAGCAGAAAAAGTAGATCTGGCCCTGACCGCAAGGTATAAAGTGGTGTCATGAATGATGTGGAGGGCCCAGAACCTTTGTCTTGTGCTACACGTCAGGCACCACAGCGCTGAGCGAATGTAAATAATTTGTGTCAATGCGCTGTACTGCTATGTGGTGTTCTTGTGCTGGACAAGAAACACAAAAAGTTCCATAGACCGGTATTGTATGTGAGGCCGCTGAGGGACAGTCTATAGCTGGAGCAGAGGAGAGCAGGGATCAGGCAAGCAAATCTGCCTAACTTCAGTCCTCTAGTCTAGACAAAAACGAGCATTTCACCCAGGGGTGGGCAAAAGCTGGCTCTTCAGCTGTTGTGGAACTACAAATCCCATGAGGCATTGCAAGATTCTCAGCAGTCATGACACCCAGGCAGATGCATCATGGGATTTGTAGTTTCACCACAGCTGGAGGGCCAGAGTTTGGCTACACTGCCTTAACCCCTGCAGTGCAGGTGCATTTGGCCTTTAAATCGCATATTTATATAAAGCGGTCTATATATTTGACTAGTGAGAAGCAAAGAGGAATTTGGTTCAGAGGGACAGTTGACATTCCTGCTGATCTGTAGGGAAATGCTCTCCCCGGTTAGTTCTCTTACAACCACACGATGGCGCTGTGCGATGTTCCTCGGATACGAGGGAGCCTCTTGCTGCGTGCCATTCAGTGGTTTGTTAGGCTCCGCCCACAGCTTGGTAGGAAGTGCTGAGCAGTGAACGCGTATGGGAGCTACACATGGCTACTAAAGCGGTGTGGGAGTACAGGGGGAACCCTGAGCAGCCGGCATTGCTCGGTAAGATATGGCAATCTACATGACAGTCTTAGTGGAGGGAGACAACGCTGCTTATAAGTTACTTTGTGTTGTTATCAACAAACTGCGCTTTATACTGACATGAAAGCAGCATGGGCTGCATCAGCAATCCATGTTTGTTTATATTGTAATATTGTGAATAATTAAAAATTGTATCATAACTCTCTTTTAGTCCATATTCACACATTGTTTTTAAATGGTGCCCATTCATATCATACTTGATCATTTTGTTACCTGTTTCTTGAAGTGTGATAATGCTCAACGTAAGCAATCCAATTATTTTCAGTGGTGCACAATTCATAGCTGACCGTTTTCTAGAGCTGCAACAACTAATCAATGTAGTCGATTAAAATCTACGATGGAAAACGTCAACGTTTTCCATCGTCGATTAGTCGGCTATCGATTAGTTTACCCTGCTCGTGGCTTCACACACGACCTGAGCTGCATGCCACGCACCAGACGAGGCGCCTCTTCTCCTCTCCTCCCCGCTCTGAGGCGCCATTGCCCGCCAACGATCGAGGGGAAACGGCACCTGACAGGCCCTCGATCTCGCATCTAAAAGTAAGAGTGCCTGCCCCCCCCCACCCCCCACATGCTTTTTTTGTACACTGTTCTATAAAAATGTGACTAGGAAAGGTTTGCACTGTCTGTTAAACTGGCCATCCATTCATTTAACACAGAGGCTGAACGAAAAAAAAGAACAGATTCTGGAGGAATCTCCCGCTGTCTACCTTGCATTCTGACAGCGGCCACCGGGCATAGCTCATCAGCTGCCGACTCTGTTCCTTTAAAGATTTTCCGGCCAACTCCTTTTGATCTTCTGATCGTGGTATGCCATCCAAAAGGATGTCAACAGCAGCACCCACTGTGCGTATTTTGTCCGGTTCCTGAAGAACCATCCAAAATTTGCATCATGTATGGCCGGCTTTACGCCTTGTAATGTGCACCACAATGTGATCCAAGCTTGGGAATAGTGATCTGTTAGGGTTTGGCGTGAACCAAGTGCACCCACGTCCATGCAAAACTGACAACCCCCTTTCCAAACCATTCAGTGGTAGCGTTCCCTGTCCCTTTGTGTAGGAACACAGAATGCCCCTGCTGCAACTGGTTGGGGGGGATGTGACAGTTTTGCATTGGTTTGGATGAGCTTGGTTCACATCCTGATCCTGCACATCACTACTTGTGAAGTGATCTATTTATATCTGTGAATTAACTAACACCATCACCCTGATATTCCAGGGAAGGGCAGCGGTAGGCACAGCCAGTGTCAGATTATACAGGCAACTGCCCATGGCCTCGAATTCCAGGGGAAGGTGGGGACCAGGGAAGGCTTAAAATTCTGTGTTTCAGTGCTCTTCATAGTACATTAGTTGCAGCTTTGTAAGTCTTTGGACTCTTGATCAGAAGTGGCAGCCTGTTGCTCTGTGGTTTCTCTGTTTGTTATCCATCATCCCTTTTTTTTCTTTTCCCAGTTGAGTTTTCCAATGGAAGAATTATTACTCCCGAAGATGTACATTTTACTTTATATAGGAATAAAGACGATCAAACCCCGGAGAAGAAAAGGCAAAGAATTTTGGTATGTTGGGGTTGGAACACTTAACCAACGTAGCATTTTAAAGTTAATCTGTGTTTTGCCCATCTGCACCAAGTTGTGACAGTGCTGAATGCTTGCACATCTAGTCACTAAGCCCCAGGGCTACCTTGTCTAAGGAAGAGGAGCGAGTTTCATTATCCCCATACCCAGAAGTGCCAGGTATTTCCCTTTACTTCCAGCAGCCGAACACCATGAGAGGAGAATGAAAGAAAGGTTGTAACCTGCCGGTTTACCTTGCTTGGGAAAGCACAGGTTCACTTTAAAGGATATTTATAACTCTATGTTGGCTTGTGACGAGAGAGCATGGAGCCGGCTTTCCGGCCAATCAGGAAGCTAGGCAGGACTCGCTGCCCAGCTTCCTGATTGGCTGGGAAGCCAGCTTCATGCTCCCTCATCAACTCATGATGAGGGAGCATGGAGCCGGCTTCCTCCCCAATTAGGAAGCCAGGCGCTGCGTCATTACATGGCGCCCGGCTTCCTGATTGGCCAGAAAGCTGGCTCCATGCTTTCTCGTCACATAGTTACGAGAAGCATAAGGACGGCTTCCCTGCTAATTGGAAAGCCGGGTGGCGAGTCTGTACACGCCGCCCAGCTTCCTTAATGGGACTTCCGGTATTAGTATTCGGTATCGGCGAGTCCCGGAAAAAAATATCGGTACTCGGTACTCGATACTGAAATACCAGTATCGGTGCATCCCTAATAAAAACCCTTCCCTCCACTTCCAAAACTGAAAGACATGAAGTAACCATTTAAATTGTTAAACAACTGGTTCTCTTTTATTGATAAAAGGATTTTCTCAGCATCAGAAACGAGCAGATTATTACACCGGTTAGTAGTGGATAAGCTGCGTGTGTAAACTGATTGCCAGTACAGTCTCTTAAGCTGGCCATACATTATGCCAATTTTGTCCTGAAGAAATTTGCACAGTGGGTGATGCTGGTAGCACCCTTCCGGCCAGTATCCCTTGATCAGCTGATCGAAGGAGACGGTTGGAAAATCTCTGAACGAACAGAGCTAGTGGCGATGTCAGAATACAAAGGAAACAGTGGGGATTCCTTGATCAACGCTCCCAAGGATTGATGGAGGAATCTGTTTCTTTTTTTTTTTTTTCCGTTCAGCCATTAGGTTGACGAAATACATAGAACAGTGTATGGCCAGATTTACTGACATCTTTTGGTCAGTTCTGCACTCTGAGAACCTGAGATATTTGGCCACAGCAGGACCTACTAGGAATATGAAGTGCGCATTCCACGGGGGAAAGGAAAAAGCATGGTGCCCTTTTGTGTGCCCTTCCCTATGTCTGGCGCAGTCCCACGGTACAATTCCCTTTGTGTCATTCAAACTTTAAATGCATTTCAGCCATTAAAGTTTCCTCTGCAATTTAGAGAAGCCCTTGATTTTATACATTTTATCGCAATGAAAATCTGGTAGTGGTTCTAACTCTCGGGTGCTAAAAAGTTTTTTTATTTCTTGCATGTCTCCCTATTAAAGATATACATTCACTTGGTGATCACTGATACAGAAAGTGAGGGATAACCTTCCCAACTAGGTTACAGACAAGTAAAACCTTGACTTTGATCAAAGTTTTTTGTGAGAGTTCCACTTTGACTGCAACGCCTATTACTGGTATATATTATATCATATGAATATATAACCAGAGAGGTCATTGTATATTTTAATAACAGATGATTTGTTCAGTAGGTTTAAGAATTCCTCTGTCTCGTAACCTCTTTAGGAACAAGGATTTGGTCAGAAGATGTCACTGAGAGATGCTTTCATCAGCATTGCAGCTGCATGCTGGCATATTTGTTTGCAATTGTATCTATGGATCTTGTACCCATGAAAGAGATCTCTTCCATGATCACCACTATGAGTAGTATTTGTGAATGAATGAACCTTGTTTTTAAACCGTATTAAAGAGCAACATGAGGAACGACTTACGAGTGAATGGTAGCTTATCTCTTGGCTGTTGAAGCTGTGTTAATGATTTTGACTTTTTGACTTAATTTTTTTTAAATTGCTTTTTATTTAATTTTTTTCTTTTACAGGCGGCAGACACAGACAGACTTAGTTATGTAGGAAATAATTTCTCATCAGAAACTGCAAAGAGCAACCCCCTGTGCAAGTAAGAAAAATGTTGATATCTTAACTTCCGGTTATTGGTTACAGGAAATAGCATTTTGTTCTTAGAAGCATAATGCCCAGGATGAAATGTGATTCTCAACCAAACGTATCACTCTATAACTGTAGTGGTGCAGAGTTCAGCAGTGTAGTTTCCATAGGTTTTCACAAAGAGTATATTGTTGTTGTGCACATTTTCATTTATGAAATCATTTCTTTATTAACCCCTTCACGACCAACGATATACAGTGTACGTCGCTAGCAATGGGGCTGTTTAAAAAGCCGCCGGGACTCTGTTTAAACCTGTAAAGCCGAAAAGCCGACTGTCATCTTTACAGTAGAAGCGATTCTGGCGGCTCAGCGGCCGCCAGATCGCTTCTACGGGCCGGTGAATGGGTGCCCGACACCCCGTCCTCTTTTCCGGGTTCAGTTGCCCCTTCTACGGGTCCGGGACCTGCTTGTTTGGTGTCGGCGGGAAGCTGGGGAGGAGATGGCTGAACCTCCGTTCGTTGATCCCCCTCCCCATTCTATGGGACCTGGAGCTATGCAGATTGCATCACTTCCGGTCCCATAGCTGTCAGTGCTGGAATAACTTCCATAGCTTATTTAGAGTGAGGGCAATAATTCTAGGGCCAGTATTTTAAAGCGTCGTCTATAGACTTTTTGGGGTACTGAGTTTTGTCGCCGTTTCACGAACGCACAGAATTTTTAACCTGGGCATGTTGGGTATCTATTTACTCGTTGTGACCTCATCTTTTATATTTTTTTTAAACAATTGGTATTTTATTGTGTTTTGGGGCATTTAAGTGCATTTTTCACAAAATTTGGGGGTTTGATAAGGGGTTGTGCTAATATCGCGCAACATAAAAATTTGCAACTGCCATCAAGACCCGAAAAAATAAAGTATTCAGGGCTAAAACGTGGAATATAACGTGGGTGCAAAAAATTAAAAAAGTAGGGCTGGTAATGATTAAAAATTTCCTGTTCGATTAATCGAAATTTTTTTTAATCGATTAATTATAACGCACATACAGATCCAACTACATTGGCCTATACACATACAGCACAGCAATGAAGTAATAAAATGAACTAGGATCACACTAATCCAGCACGTTATTAATCTCCCGTGCCCCACTCAATATGGCCACCGCTTGAGTGGGGCAACTCAGAATAATAACGTGCTGGATTAGCGTGATCCTAGTTCATTTTATTACTTCATTGCTGTATTGTATGTGTATAGGCCAATGCCAGGGATCCCAACCTGAAATAAGCAATTTCAGGGAGGTGCCCTCTCCCCCCCCCATCCGCGAAGTACAATAGGAATCTAGCTATGCATTTGTATGCCTTTTTTTTTCTTTTCTGACTGACGGTCAGGCCGCGGCTCCCGATGTCAGAAAAGAAAAAAAAACGATCGCAGGGAAAGGTTAATCTGCTCAATCCCCCGATTGAGCAGATTAAACCTTTCCGGTAAAAAGTGTTTCTCTCCCGGCCGGGATGTGTACTCACCGGCCCAAGCAGCTTCATCGGGTAACGAAGGGAAGGGGGGAGTCCAGTGACGTCACGGACATCGACGTCACGGGACTCCTCTCCCCTTCCCTTCATTAGCCGACAGCCACTTGGGGAAGGGGAGAGGAGTCCGGTGACGTTGATGTCCGTGACGTCACCGGATCTCCGACGGAAGACCCGGAAGCCGGCGGAGAGGTAAGTACGGATCAAAATAACTTTGATCGATCAAAATAATTTTGATCGATCAAAAAAATTTACGATTAATCGAGGGATTAATCATTAATTTCCGCAGCCCTAAAAAAAAGGCCTCAGTCATAAGGGGTTAAAGAGCTCCGGGTAAACAAAAAAACTTACTTTTTGCAGTTGGGCTAGCCTCGCACTGCAAGGGTTTATTACTCGTTTTGTCTAGGGGTACAAATAAAGCTGTATTACTCACCTAATACTCGGTCCAGGCAGCTCCCTCTGGGGTGCTAGATCGGTCCCTGCAGCCTTTTCTCTCTTGGGCTCCAGTGGTCTAAGGACCGCTAACATCATCACGTCTTAAGGTGCCCATACACTGCACGATTCTCGTACGAGAATCGCGGGAAATCCCACGATTGTACAAGAATCGTGCAGTGTGAATGAAGACGTGCGACCGTTTCTACTGTACGGTCGCACGTCTTTTGTCTAAGGAGCATGCTAGAAAACCAGCCGAAAATCTTATGATTTTCGGCTGGTTTGAATGATGCTCGGGAGACAAATGCCGAACGGGCCGGTGTGAGCACGCGCACACTGCCCGTTCAGCATTGCAGTCATCGGAAGCTTGCGATGATGGCAAGCACAATCTGCCTGTCCAAGATAGGCAGATCGTACGTTTTTTAAATTACTTTACAACCATCGCAAGACTCAGGTCTTGCGATGGTTGTAAAGTGTATGGCCACCTTTATGTAGGTTCATTGGCCTTGCTTTAGATGTGAGGACGCTGAGGGCACTCTATAGTCAGAGCAGAGAGAGGTGATTGCTGACCTCCACGGGACTGAGGATCAGGTGAGTAATGCAGCTTTATTTGAGCCCCGTAGACCAAATGAGTGCTTAACCCTTGCAGTGCAGGGGTAGACCCACTGCAAAGGTACATTTTTATTTTTTCTTCTTTAATCCAACATGTAAAACCCACATTGTACATTAGACTCTCCTTAAAATCTTTGCTGTTCACATTTCACCGGTCACTATAGTACTGCTATGTTATGACTAGCAGTGTTGCTCCTAGTCTGTGACTGGACGGTAAAAGAGCAGTAAGAGATGGATGAGGTAATTTTTTAATCTCCTCCTGTCAGCAAATGTCGATGCATGACACTTAAATGTTCTCAAGTGCTACCCCTCCATCTCCAAGTCTAGGTGCTGCTGTACAGAGGATTATAGGAGGATGAAATCAAAAGTTGCATTTTTGAAAATATATAAAATACCTAAAGAAGAGGTAACTCGCCAGAATCGCTTCTGTTGTAAAGCCGATAGTCGGCTTTACGCGTTTAAACAGCCCCGATGCTGGCGACGTACACTGTACGGAGGAGTTAAATAATAGCTCCATTCATAGCTACACTTAATCTGCTTGGAGTTAAAGGAGAACTATGGGGTCAGGGCTTTTCCCCATAGTTCTCCTAAGGATCACGGGAGAACACAAACTAGCGTCCTCCCGTCACCCAAAGCTCACCCATGACGGATCCCGACAATACTGTCTGGATCCACCCAGCTGCGGGATTGACAGCTGGCTCTGCCTGCCCCCTCCCCCGACCGTTTCGCCAGTCAGCGCTGGAGGATCGGACAGGGGAGGGGGGAATCCCTGCAGGGAGCCGTGATTGACAGTCAGGGCTCTCTGCAGGGATAGATTGAGAAGTGAGCGAGCGACGGTATGTGTTCGCTCACTTCCCGATCTACTGAGCCGACCTGTGACAGTTTCATTGTCACAGGTCGGCTCAGATTATGAGGCTGAGTGAAAATCACTTGTCTCATAATTCTCCTTTTAACCTTTTGAAATATCGCTTTCTTTGAGGTACTACTGGACTTAAGAACTTGACACTTGTCACAGAGACGGGAAGACACAGACAGGAATATTCTGACAGAGGTTCTAGTCCTTTCCCATTGTACTGAAAAATAAATCCTTTGTTGCAATCTGTGTCCTGAGTGGAGCGATTCCCCATTACTTCATGTGATGTGGGGAAATGCAGGAAATCGTTCCAATTGGTTCCCAGAATGCAGTTTACTTATTGAAAATGGAGGGGGGGGGGGTCTGCCAGGACTCAGTGAGAGAAATCTAGCTATGTGTGGCTAGATTAAGACTCCAGAAAATATATGATGTGCCAAATGCAGTAATCTGTAGGTTTGAATTGAAACAAATAAAGTGTATTTAGACCCAAAAACCTAAACCAAATATGAATGCTTGGCAAGTCCATCACCTTTACCCTCAGCTTCTTTAGCAAGGCAGTGGTCGTTTTTTTCAGCCAAATAGTATTGTGATCCTATTTTACACACAGTGCTATACAAAACCTAGCATTCTTTTGTGAGTGTTTTAGTTATTTATTTTTATTACCGATATTTATATAGCATTGACAATTTACGCAGCACTTCACATAGTTGCACATTCATGTAAGTCACTGCCCTCAAGGAGCTTAGAATCTAAAGTCCCTATCTTGCATACATGCATACATACAGGGTCGATTAGACTGGAGCCAATTAACCTACCAGCATGTCTTTGGAGTGTGGGAGGAAACCGGAGTACCCGGAGGGAACCCACACAAGCACAGGGAGAGCATGCAGATAGTGCCTTGACTGGGATTTGAACCGGGGGCCTAGTTCTACTTTAAACAGGCATGTAGGTTGAAAGCTGTGGTGTTACTATATCTTGCATGTTCTTTTACTAATAAAATAAACCTGAACTAGGCTTCCATGTTCTAAAGAGGCAGCTGAGGCATCTATATGTCTTACATTTACAGCGGTGCATACATTTCTCTTGCTTTCTCTGTCCCAAATAGCAACATTTCACTTTCCAGCAACAGTCACATCTGCATATGAAAAAAAAAAATCATGCATAAGCATGAGGTTACTGCTAGCCTGCCCATGTTTCTATGGCAGAATTCAGATTCAGATACAATGATAAATTCCCCCCAATGTGTGCACTGTTACTGCAGTAATTTTCTGGCTTCAGCTGACTCCTACCAGCCAGTGCAGAGCAGAATTAAAAAGACCAAGAATAGTCATCACTTTTTTTTTTTTTCTTCTCCTGTTTTCAAGGTAGAAACCCCTCATACAAATCTCAAATGAAAGCGACACTAAACTCACACATTAAATAATAAAATTAAGTTCTATAATCCTTTTAACCACCACCTGTCCGCTGACGGCCGGATGGGAGTCTTCTGGATGTGGGTGGGCGTCTTTAGACGTCCTTCGTACCCGCTCCTGTGGTCGCCATCCCCATGATCCCGGGCGTCCGTCCGGGACTGGCAGCGTGGCTCCCTGCACTGAGAACGGAGGGAGATCAGTACACAATCTCTCTCCGCTCTAACTCCCCCCTCTCTGAATGCAGGAAGTGATGTTTACTACATCACTTCCGCATTCCTCTGTCGCTCTCCAGTACAGAAACCGGAGAGAAGCTGATGAAGCAGATCTGTGCTCCATCAGCTTCTCTGGGGGTCCCTAGGTGACAGGAGTCTTAGAGACCCCTGATGTCTCTAAGTTTTGTGTCACTTTAAGGGTGACAAGCTGCAGAGCAGGCAAAGTGCATGTATAAAAATATACATTGCTGTATACTGGAGTTCTGCTGTAACTATGGTATAAGATGGCAAATCAGTCTTGAGAGACCATGTCAAATCCTTGTTTCTTTGAATTATTTGCCAGGTATTTTATCGGGGTTCTGAATAAAGAAACTGGAAAGATGGAGGTGTATGATGCTGAGCCTATCCAGATGCGCCCAGTACTGGAAACTGACAATAACCGTGAGACACGCATACTTTTATTGCACCTGCACATTATTAATGTTTCCTTTTAATGTATACATGCTTCTCTACAAATTATATGCTATATGCTTTCATTTCTGTATTACCAAATTGCTAATAGTCATTTTAGCATTATTAGCATCTTGGTATACTTGAGGTTAATTTTAGGAGCTGCATACAGGTTATTAATACTAAAATGTAAGTATGCCTTACTGATGCATCGCTGTTTTGAAACAGATCAGAACAATTATCTCCGCATAAGGATTGCTGCCATGCACATGCTGTATCTTACCCATAGTGCCTTCTTCCACACCCTGTGCTGAAAATCATTATTCACTCTAGATCTAAGTTTTTAAAGCATAGCTAAAGGTGTAAGGTATCCGTCAAGGCATACCTTTTTTCTTTCCTGAAAATGCACAAGAGAAGAAGAAGAAAAAAAGAACTACATTTCACTGTACAGATGGACAATGTTCTGCATGTGTTATTTAAAACTTTATCATAAACACTGTTAACTTGCAGCTTGTATTTTACTGTTGCAGTGCAAAGTGAAGATGTGACAGACCTGTCAACAAGAACCTACAGAGAAAAGGTTTGTTCTACGGCTTTCATTTTAATACTTTTATATGTACCACTTTTTTAATTCCAAGCTGAATTTCTTTTCGATTCTGTCTCCTTAAAGCGGACCTTTACACTCAAAAATCAAATTCTACCAATGCATCCCTCTATGTATGATGATTAATAAAAACATAGACATGTCAGGTGTAAAGTGCTGTGATCATGAAATACTTACACACTGTCCTTCCTTCTGGAGGGTGGATACTTTTGTTCCCCATGGTCCCTGTGTGTGTTGTAAAGTAATCACAGCTCCAAGCTCAGTCCTGTGATGGACTACAATCTCATGTTTAGTTTACTAATTTGTATTGAAATTGTAATACAAATTAATCTCTGGAATAGAAATATAATGTGCAGCAAATGTATAAAAGGATGACTCCAGTTCATTGCACTGCATAGCCTGTTCAGCACTTATACATTTGGCCACTGTGATAGGAGGGTATACGGTGCACCTTAGTGGAAGACTTGCATGGAGTTAATATCAACCTGGCTTTCAGTGAGTAATGGCTAACCTCATCCAAACACTGACCTACATATAACCCTGATATGGCTAGTCTAAAGCTAGCCATACACCACAAGATCACTCAATTTTTTTCCAATCCGTGCAACACCTGCCGACTTTTGTATTAAGACAGCCGACACCCTCGACTGTCTCAATCCCTGAACTACTGCATATAATTGGCTGCAATTCTCCACCTTGCGCCTTTTGATTTGTAATCAAAGTATGTCTAATAGGTTGGTGCTGACAGGGCCACCCACAGCATGAATGTTGACCGATTTAGCAGGAATTGGCCAAAATGTCAGCCATGTATGACTGATTTAAGACATACTATCCATATTGCATAGCCCATGGCTTTTTTTTTTTTGTGCCCCTGTTGCAGATTATTTCTTATTTCCTCTCTGGTAAATCAATTGTCACTGGGACAGTAAGTGAGGGGATATCTTTTCAATGAAGCAGCAGTAAAACTTGACAGGGGCTCTAATCCTCACCCACTCTATCCCAAAAAAAAGAAAATTGGCTTTGCATACACTTGAAATATTTTGGCAGTAAAGGTTATTTTCTTACATTTAAACTATTTTAAATTTGCAGTAAGGTATAGTAACAAGACATATTATTTCCATGGGAGGAAAAAAGTCTTTTTTTTTAATCACCTGAATATCAAGAAATTTAATTTAAGTCAGAAACTGCTAATTCTAGTCACCACCTTGCTTCCTGAGTACAGAGCAAGTTCACTCTTCATTAAAAAGGTGAACTAACTCGCAACTCAACCTCTTAACCCATTGTCCCTGCTGCACTTAGCTGCTGTGAATACGAATGCGATTATATGCCATGCTGACCAGTGTGAGCATTATGATGCTACCCACCCCCAGGGGCTGTGTAGTGAAGGTTTCCAATTGGTGGCGGTAGATGGTGTTCATAGCAGCACTGGAGTGTTTTGTGTTATATACAGGGTATATATATTTTCGGGTTTTGAAAAGGTTATTTCATCTTTTTAAAGAAGAACCAGGGAAACGTATTAACCCTTGCAGTGGGGCTACCCCCGCACTGCAAAGGCTTACTGCTCATATGTGTCTAGGTCAGTGCTGGTGAACCTATGGAACGCAAGCCCAGGTTCAAGGACAACCTCTGAAAATAGATCCGACCATCCCAGGTTCGCCTCGGTATTGGATCCGGGCCGGTCACAATCAGGCAGTGGTGGCCATATAAACAGGCATATTAGTCTAATATGCCTGTTTAGAGGCCGTCGCTGCCTGACTGTGACCTGCCCGGATCGCATACCGAGGCAATCCAGGACGGTTGGATATTTTGAGCTGCAGAGCCCATATAAGAACTGCACAGCTTACCTGAGAGCCCACACAGACCTCCAGAGACCCTGGGGACATCAGGCCACCACCACGGAGCAACACAGAGTATGCAACCTTATATTATTTTGCATTGCTTTATAATGTATTGCTGGGATTTGTTGTCCTCTATAGTTGGTAATATTCTGCCTTGTATAATGTATTGTTGGGATTTTAGTCATCTATAGCTGGTGGTATTCTGCATTGCTGTATATTGTATTGCTGGGATATGTAGTCCTCTATAGTTGGCGGCATTCTGCATTGTAATATAATGTATTGCTGAGATTAGTTCATTTACTGAGAACTAATCTCCGCAATCTTCCTCTGTGTAGGGCGAGAGAGGCTCTAGGGACCTGTCTATGAGCAAGCCGGCTTAAATAATTGGGTGAGTATAACTTTAATTTTCTTTAGCACCTAGATGGAAACGATAAGTTAACCCTTGCAGTGTAAGGGTTAATACAATTTTTCCCTGCAGTTTTTTAAGTTCAGCATTATTGTTTTGCAAATTCCAAATGGAAACAAAGCTTACCTCATACTGTAATATCAACTGGGTACATGACATCTCATATGTAGTTCCAAAGAGATAACATACAGTGGCATGTTGTAATCATAAGAGCTTTTTCTATTTACATTTTAACAGATGGATGCTCTCATAGAAGCTTTTGGTACCAATAGACAGAAACGTGCTTTAAGTTCTCGAAAGCTAAACCAAGTTGGAAGCGAAATACTAAATAAAGCAATGGTGAAAGCAGCAGAAGACATCATAGTGAACAAAGGAAGAACAGGTAAGGGCAACGGCATTCTGAGACGACTTCTATTTCTTAATCCATCATTGAGTTGTCTTATGGTTTCTCTGTCATTTATTGTCAAAAAACAAAGAATATTGCTTATACCTTATACCAGGAGATAGGCTTTGAGTCCATTTCAAGTGTGTGTGTATGTATATGTGTGTGTGTATATATATATAGATAAAGAGGTATGTATGTATGTATGTATGTATGTATGGAGAGAGGGAGAGAGACCGTGTTTCCCCAAAAATAAGACACTATCTTTTTTTTTTTTTTGCCTCAAAAAAACCCACCAGGTCTTATTTTCGGGGTAGGTCTTATTTGTTTTTTTAATGTACAACAATCCACACTTATTCATGTAGAAAAGTCTACATGTATTCATGTACAAAAATATGGTAATCAGGGGTGCCGTACCTTTCCAAGAGCAATTTGGTAACCAATCGCTGGCCAGAATGAGCGAAGCGCGCTTTCACTATCGATTCCTCACAGACGGAGTGCATTTGGTATCACTCGGCCTGTGACAGGAGCCGGCCCTATAGAGGAGGCATCGGCTTATGCGGCTCTGCTCCCTCCGGTGCCGCCTTGCTTCTTCTAGCACTGGTTTCGTTGGCACCGCTGATTCTATCCTGCCTCTCCTGCAGCTCTTCAAGTTCCCCCTTATGCCACCACCGGCCCTGGGGAATGATCACAACTAGGTCTTATTTTCAGGGTAGGTCCTATACTTTAGCAATACCCAAAAATAGTACCAGGTCTTATTTTCGGGATAAGTTTGTGTGTTTTTTATATATTACTGGCCAATTCCTTACTTTAATAATCAATTTCTTCACTACAGAGCTAGTGAAAGAAGCAACAGAAATAAATAAAGAAGAGTTCTCTTCTGCCTTTTTGCCTCCATGTGATAGTAGCGCAGATAAACCAGATGATGTCTACAAATTTGATGACCGTATCCTTTTATTGTATGAAATGAAGTCTTTGTGTAGTGACATCTCTGACACAGAAAATTATTTGGCAGTTGCATCTAGCTCTGCATGTACCTGTCAGAATATTGAAGTATGCTGTTTTATGTGACCGTGTCTAACTTTGGCTTACCTACATAAGTGATTTGGTCCTAGGTTTGTAGTATATTTCCCAAAAAATATTTTGGTTGCTACGCTACAGGGAAATATATATATCAAATCCAATAATAATGTTTCTCTAATAGTTAATATAGTGAGCGAAATATCATTTGTATGGGTTGTGTCACAGATGAGGATAATAAATGCACAGAAAATGCGTGTATCAAGGTTTTACATTCTGTGCTGTTAACCACTTGCTGACCGGGATGTTAAACCCCCTTCCTGACCAGGCCATTTTCCAGTGTTCAGCGCTGCGGCACTTTGACTGACATTTATTCCCTCATGCAACGCTGTACTGAAATTAATTTTATACCATTTTTTGGTAACGCATAGAGCTTTCTTTTGGTGGTATTTAATCACAACTGGGGTTTTATATGTTTTAATATAGTAAGGAAAAATTACTGACATTTAAAAAAAAAAAATTACTGTTTCCCCTATATTACATTTTATAAAACATTTTATTACCCAATTTTTTTGGTAAAATATAAAAGTCGGGGTCACGTCGGGTAAATAGACACCAAATATGTCAGGCCTTAAAATTGCGCGTGCCCACGAAACCTCAAAAAACTAGAATATACAAAATTGGCCATAGGTGACACTTTAAAAGCTTTTACTGCTCATCAGTTTAGTGTTATCAGTGATTGACGGCACTAAAATTATTGTTTTCACTCCGATGTTCGCCACGATATGTAACGTGTAGCGCAATTGTCGTTTTTCGTGCCCTATTTATGTTTTATATGTGCGTAAACGTGACTTTTTTTTTTTTCTTTTACACAATGTTATTGCTATCACATAGGGGGCTAACAATCCCCCTATGTGATAGCACAGGCACACTGACAGGTCCTCTTTATGGAGACATTAGGGGTCTCTAAGATCCCTAATGTCACCTGGGGACCCCGAAAGAAGCCGATGAAGCAGAGATTTGTTTCACCAGCTTCTTCTCTGGATCTCAGCCAGATGACTGACAGGTGAATGAGGAAGTAATGTATTACACTTCTACATTCAGACGTCGGAGGGAGATCAGGAAGATGCTGATCTCCCTCTCGGCTTCCGGCTGACACCCACCTGGGCCGCAGAGGGGGGCGGCGGAGCCCGGGATTAAAGGTGAGGGGGGGCAGTTGTGCAGGGCAGCATGTACAAGCGATCGGTTGGCTATAGTGACGCCGATTGCTTGTATGTGAAACAGCCTCTAATTTTGATTAGCTTTTTCTTTTTTTTTTTTTCTGCCTGTGCACGAGCAGGTTTACTTTAATAACTGAAATCTGCCACCCTGGAACTCTTCCTTCAACCCTTCAGGCCTTGTTCACACCAAATGCAGAGCAGATCTGCATGAGTTTCTGCACACGCAGTGCAGTGGGTTGTGCCGTGTTTTTGATGCGTTCCGGGCAGTTTTTGGTAAAAACATTAAAATGTTAAAGTTTAAAATGGGCTTTCAGTGCGTTGCAGGGCGTTTGCATTTTTTTTACCTGCTCTGGAACGGAACGATGCGATGTGAACTGGAGCTTGCAATACATTGGACGCAGTTTTGCTTCGGTCTGTAACTGCTCTGCTCCTGGAATGCGCTTGGTGTGAACAAGGCCTTAGTGTCTCCTTTTTAATGTGCTTAATTTCTTACATTTGCCAATGGGAGGTCACAAAATCTTACTAAATGCTTCATTCAAGTATAGTCACATGTATCTTTAAGGCATTGCTGTGTTTTGATTATGTATGTTTTATGGGTGTTGAAGGGGCCCAGTTATAAAACCCAGTTACCACAGCCATACTGCAAAAGAAAAGAAAAAAAGCACAAACATTGTGCTTTAAAAATATGCTTAGCTCTTTGCTTGCTTAGGGACTCCAAAGCACGTAAAGCTTCATTCATTTTCATGAATAAGTAGAAAATAAGAAGATGGCCGTCTGGTCATGTGACCAGCCTATCCTCCTGCAGCGTTATGCAGAGGGAACTCCATAGGACATGGCTCCCTGCATTTTTGAATAGACTGTAAAATGAAGGTGCACTATGAGGTGTACAAAGGATAATGATGTTCTCTCTCCATTTTAAATAGGCTTATAAGTGATGCTTTAATGCACAGGTGGTAAAAACGTGTGCTACAAAACTGCAGCCCAACACATAGAAAGTGCATGAAAATGTTTGTTTCAAATGCATGTGTGTCCTAAATGGAGAATGTGGAATGAGGAATTGAATACAAGTATCTTCTTGCTGTATAAATAGAAAACACTTGATTATCATTGTAGTTACTTGCATGCCCTGTAATCCTAGAATATCTGTTTGTATGATGATCCCTCTTTACATTCTCTTACACTGGTGGTGTTTGATCTTAACTCTTGTCAAGTTATCTCTCCTTTGGAATATGAAGCTTTGGAAAGTGTCGCTGCTCCTTTTAAGAACATCACATCTGAGGAACTCCAACAGATGACAGAGAAAACAGAGTAAGACCCATTCTTATGAATGGGTTGGGCCAGCACTGAGTTATTGAAGTAGACATGTAAGCATGCATTGAGGGGAATTTATTAAAACTGCAGCGGACAGAATCTGCAGCAGTTGCCCATAGCAACCATTCAGCTTTTCTCTTCCGTTCAACTTTGTAAATGAAAGGGAAGCTGGTTGCCATGGGCAACTGCTCCAGATTCTGCCTGCTCCACATTTGAAAAATTCCCCTCATTGTATTCAAGTTTAGTTTGATAGTTTTCTTATATTATAAAGTTATCAGAGGGATTGTAACATCAGTCATGCTTCACAAATGTAAGAATGCTGTAAATCTTGTCTGTTAGTTTTACTGCTCTGACATCACTTTTTAACTTTAAGCTATCGATGATATTTATGACATCAGGTGTAACAGTGCAATTGTTATCAAAACAATTACAGTTGGCTGTAGAAAAGATCAGGAATATGCAGGGTTAAGCGTGTCCCAAATGATTAAAGCCAGAGGATCGGTGCTGGAGCCAGGCAGTTGGCACTTTTAGAAGGAAGTGGCAGCTTTCATGTGCTCTCTACAGTTTTCCTAGCGACAATAATTTCCAAAACCCGCCTCACAGGTGGCAGCAGTTTCCATAAATGTTCTCTATTTTGTTGCGCTTTGATAGTGTACATCAGAAATGAAAGGACTGTAGTTGCTGGTATGACCGTTTATAAGGCAATTTTCTGCCTAAAGCAGGCACTGCGGTGTGCCTTCTATCGCCTTAAAGCAGAACAAAGCTGAACTCCGGGATAAGCAAATATTGTCTGAATACAAGAGCCATGTGTGTTCTTGAATCTTGATAATCTTTGTGTATCTCTTCCAGATCTGTGCAGTAATCCAGTCTGAGTTATTGAAGTAAGCATGCATTGAGGGGAATTTATTAAAGCAGGAGCGGACAGAATCTGCAGCAGTTGCCCAGATTGCAGGAGCATTAGGACCAGTCGGTGCTGTTCTCTGGCCTTGTGTAGTCTGACTGGTCTTGTATCCGCCCCCTACTGTAGCTTTTTACAGCCTGTAGTGGGTGGGCCTTCTGGGTCCCTCCTACAGATCTGCTCTGCACAGGAGATGATAGCACTGCTACTTACACAAGGCAATAACTGGTGCTGGTGGGTTTATATTTTTTGTGGCAATTGAGAAATACATTTGAATGAAAGTTTATGTGATTAGACTTCAGTGTTAAGTATCCAGAAAAGTCCACTGTGTACCTCTCTGATTTAGTAAAACATTTTTTTGTAAACAATGGCCTTAACTTCTGGGCTAAGTTGTCTGACATTTGTTTCATCCTGTCTTGTGATCATCTAGGGTTCTCTTGGACAGGGTGTAGTCAGATTGGCAAGGTTTAGTCTAGAATTCAAACAAGCCTTTCTTCTAGTACCAAGGTAACGCTAGTTTGAGAGGCATAATGCAGCACTTTTCCAAGTTTACAATGACTGGTTCATATTTATTGAGGAACAGGTAGTATATGTATTAAAACTGCATATGTTAAAGGACTGAGGTGTATTTTACTGCCACTGGACATCATGGATACGGTTTAAATGATTCAGTGCATATGTGTAAATTTAGATAACTACTGATGTGTGTTTTTGTTCACCAAACCCACTGATTCTCTTCTTTGTCGTGCAGGCATACCTTCTTTGTCCTACAAGAGCTCCAACAACTTAAGCTAGCGAAGGACACGGACCGTCAGGCTCGTGTTTTGTGGTACTTGGACAATCTGATCAAATTCAGCCATCTTAAAGTCGTGAAACGGAAAGGTCAGTCCTTTAAGCGGATTTCTAGAGTGTGTGTTTAGGTTTTTCTGGTTGGTATAGTGTAGGGAAGATTTTTATTTTTGTATCTTGTGTCCTATTAGGGAGACTTCCATTTACTTCCTGTCCCAGACATACACCGGTGATGCAGAGTTAGTATTAGGGTTCAGGGTGTGGTGGCAATTCAACTTTTTACAGGTTGGCCCGAGATTTATACATTTCAGCTAAACCTTTAGACCTACTGATCATTTTGACATGGGTTTCTCAATGTAGGGTTTCACTGCTTATGTTTTTTTTTATCACGTGTTCAGTTTAAAGGAGAATTATGAGGCGAGTGATTTTCACTCCGCCTCATAATCTGAGCAGACCTGTGACAATGAAACTGTCACAGGTCGGCTCAGTAGATCGGGAAGTGAGCAAACACATACCGGCGCTCGCTCACTTCTCGATCTATCCGTGCAGAGAGCCGTGACAGGGGAGGGACTGGATTCACCCCTCCATGCTCCGATCCTCCAGCGCTGACTAGCGGAACGGAACTGGCTCTGCCTCTAGATAGGCAGAGCCTGCTGTCACTCATGCAGCTGGGTGGATCCAGACATAATTGTCGGGATCCGTTCCGGCTGCGGCGTCTCAGTATACCGGGAGCTACAGCTTTGGGTAACGGGAGGCTAGTTTGTGTCCTCCCGTTACCCTTAGGAGAACTATGGGGAAAAGCCCTAACCCCAAAGTTCTCTAAGTTGCAAAGGTTTGCTACAATGTGTTACTGTAAAATCTGTGTATTTGAAAGCATATGTAAACTCATGCAAAACAATCACATATGAACTTTAAATGGTCATTTTATTTGAAAAGTTTTCAGTCGCTTTAGATCTACAAATACCATCAAAATAATATCTGTTGATCCTGCCGTAAATTGCCTGGTTCAGGCACTTCCTGTTATAGGGTGACATTGCTCTGTCTCCTGCACTGCTGTACAGGGTTCTGATGGAGACTTCCAAGTGTTGGTTTCAATGCACATTGAACAGGTATGGTCCACTGTTGTTGCTATCGGCAAACACACCCTGAGAAATGGCGTGCAGCCATCGCCGGAGTGCATTTAGAAAGGAATGGTCTGTAGGAGATCACCAGCACTAAGATACAAAACAGTGAAAACCATATTGAAAATGGGGAATTGTTCAAGGTACACATTCATTTTGCAAAGCCACTGTCATTCATTTGAGGTTCACATCTACTTTAAAGGAGAACTATGAGGTGAGTGCTTTTCACTCACCTCATAGTTCTAGCCGACCTGTGACAATGAGACTGTCACAGGTCGGCTCAGTAGATCGGGAGGTGAGCAAACACATACCGGCGTTCACTCACCTTTCGATCCTGTCATGGCTCTCTGCCGTGACAGGGGAGGGACTGGATCCCCCCCTCCCCGCTCCGATCCACCAGCGCTGACTGGCGGAACGGACGGGGGAGGGGGTGGGTACAGCTGGCTCTGCCTCTAGATAGGCAGATCCAGTTGTCACTCACGCAGCTGAGCGGATCCTAGACATAATTGTCGGGATCCGCTTCAGCTGCGGCGTCTCGGTATACTGCGAGCCTTAACCCCATAGTTCTCCTTTTAACAGGCTTCTTCTCTGGTTCAGCCCATTTTTTGGTCAGTTGCATGTTTGAACTGTAAGCTGCCACAACGGTTGAGCTGCCTATTGCTGGATTGTATGTATAGGTGTTTGTTTTAAATAAATATATTGTTTTTAATTGCAGATCTTATTACCAAAGGATGTCCAAGTATTATATGTGGAAATGTAATGAGAAACTTTAGTGTAATAGTCTATAAAAATGGCAGGTAAGATAAATCCATTTAATATGGTACTCATTAGATATTAGACTGGTATCTTGCTGCACCATCTGTTTTGTTGGATATTGCTAAGACTATATATGGGGTACTTCTGTTTTGTCTAGATATTCTTCAAGCGTTATGGAAATCTGTGTTTTGAAATGTTTGCATGTGCTTCCCTAGGGTAAGGTGATGGTATAGGTATTTGTTTTAGACATGAGCATATTTTGTAGGGGAAAACCTTTCCTGAGGTGACCAGCCTAACATTTCTCTAGGAATCTTCACTTGTAGTTAATGCGTCATCATAACTTAGAATACACTGTCAGTGCTAAACTCTCACATGGGTTATAAGTAGATAAAACTATCATTGGCAGTGGTTTCACTGAGGTGCAGATATTACCTTTTCAATTAAGGGCCTATTCACAAAATTGCATGTCACTGCATGCTACTTGCATTGATAGTGTGGTGCCATCCATATTTAATGGCACCCCGATGTAGCAGGGGTTAGGTGTGCACCTAGCCTAAATCTGACTTTAGACTTGGTGTATTAAAGTGGCTGCACTCCGCTTTTTATATAGTGGCTAATGCCATAGTGGAGTGCTGACACATGAACTGTCTGTCGTCTGATCTTGCTAGATGTCAGATATATGGAGATTGCAAAAGCATACCAAAGCTCTGCACCCCTTTTACTAAGCACAGTCTCCTACTACACCTTTTATTAAGCACAGTCCTACTACACCTTTATTAGATGGTTGTTATGTATGGACTGATATTCCTACGGACAAATGATAAAATAGCAGTTAATACATGTGCACACCTAAAACTGAGAGCTAAGTATAGACGTTTGTTTATTGTTAGGGGTCCTTTTCATCTTAAGCTCTAGAGACGTGTGTATGAGCATGTCCTTTCTCATGTTTGCCATTGTGTTAGAAATACATATTGACTTGCCTGCAAGGATCCTTTGAGGTATGATGTGAGGCGTCTACAGTATAGTGCTGCTGACAGCACAAAACTGCTCATTGCACATAGAGGGCTCTTGTCAGTCTCTCAGTAAAATTCACAGAGACTGTCAGGGTTTTGTTATCGAGATGTATTCACCTGTATGGTTCACAGCAAACCATGTACACCTTTAAAAGTGAATGTGGATTGAAGAAGGCTTTCTTGCATGAGCTGAAGTGCCGGGAGGCACATGTATTAATCATAAAATCTGGTGAATTATTTATTTGTCCTGGGCTGCCTAACAGCTTGTCTGTTCTTATCTCCTCCAGGATTCAGAATTCTGTATCTGGGACAATGAAATCTAAAATTGTGGCCTATGTCATAGCCTTGGCATTGCACATCTCAGATTTTCAGGTGGATCTGACACTTTTACAGAGAGACTTGAAGCTAACAGAAAACAGGTGAGACAGTGTCTGCATGTCTTTCCTATGTAATCCATGCATTTGTCAAACTGTAAATAATACTGTCGTTCACTTGAGAAAACCGATACTCTAACCTTACCTCAGCCAATTTTATCAGTACTTCAGTAACACAAGAGTTTAAGTATGATGCACTAATGAGAGTTTACTGCTCATGTATCGGAAGCTTTTTATATTGGCCTCTCCAAGCAGCGAGCCTGTACTATTGCCTCTTGATCAATATTTCTTGCTGTTGATGTTGCTAGTATTGTGTGGCACACTTTATTGTGTGAATTTCCAGAAAGTTATCTACTGTTGCTTGTATGCTCCTCAGTGAGCAGGTAAGAATGCTAGCATGCATGTAGAATATGAATGGCCAAGCATTTACTCTTAAGGATCATGCCTGATCCCTTTACTCAGTGCTGTGAATGTAAAGCTGAACTTACCCCAGCCAGTGAAAGCTGCTTCCTTTTTTTATTTTTCCTCCCCGGTATTCCAGGGAGATTTACTGCACACCATGGAGTCTTCCCCCTGCATCAAAATGGCTGCGAAAAGACTTGTCTCATTCATGGCAACCAATCTAATTATCGTTTCCATTCTCCTAGTCCAGCATGGGGAAACTAAAACAATCTAGTTCTCTTGCAAGACGCAAAGATTAAGGCTACCAATTGAAAACCTGTAATGACAGCCCCACTTGTAACCCCCAAGAATTCCCTTAGTGGGAGCATTAGAGTGTAAGCTTGGCTGAAGTAATCTCCTACCATAGTGCAGTCCCAGCCCATTGTGGAGGAGGAAGAAACAAACGCAGGTAAGTAACCACTAAATAAAATACCAATGCTATTGTTTTAATGTGTATGTTTCAGGACAAAAGTATTATTTCCCTTATGTAATTTTGCACAGAGGAAAGAACCCAAACAACATCTCTGCACATAAAAGCTTACACTCTAATGCCCCACCACAGTTTTATACACACACATTATTTTACACACACTATAAAATAAATATATAGATATATACATTTAAATGTGTGTGTGTGTGTATATAAAACTGTGGTGGGGCATTAGAGTGTAAGCTTCTCTGTGCAGAGATTGATGTTACTGAATGTTTTTTGTCTGTGCAGCATTACATTGGGGAAATAATACTTTTGTCCTGAAACATACACATTGATGTCTTCAAATATTTATTCTCAGTAGTGCCTCTCATACATCAGAGAGAAAACTATATGCGTTCTAAAAGGGACAGACTCCTTATAGGGTTACTTATAGCAGCATAAAGCAAATTTCAGGAATGTCACTGAAACATTTTCTTTCAAATTGCATTATAAGACGCCAGTTGGTGATTTAACCTGCCAGCATTTACTTGGTATCTGCTTTTAGTGGACTGATGTGTTTAATAAAAAACATGTATGAAGAATAACAAAAAGTCACATCTATCAGTCGGCATCAATCCTGTTTGCCCTGTTCATCATAACTAGGGATGCACCGATACCGGTATTTCGGTACCGAGTACAAGTACCGATATATTTTTTTCCGGTACTCGCCGACACTGAGTACCGGGAAGTCCCATTCAGGAAGCCAGGTGGCGGTAATGACTCGTCACCTGGCTTCCTGATTAGCCGGGCAGCGTGTAAAGACTCGCCACCTGGCTTCCCCGATTAGCAAAGAAGCCGTCTCCATGCTTCTCGTCACTATGACGAGAAAGCATGGAGTAGGCTTACTGGCCAATCATGGAAGCCGGGCGCCATGTAATGACACGACGGCCGGCTTCCTGATTGGCCGGGCAGTCGGCTCCATGCTCTCTCATCATGAGGTGACGAGGGAGCATAAAGCCGGGTGCCGCGTCATTACACGGCGCCCGGATTCCATGATTGGCCAGTAAGCCTGCTCCATGCTTTCCCGTCACATAGTGTAATGACGCGCTGCCCAGCTTCCTGATACTGGAAGTATCGGGCTAGGCATTGGAGCATTTGGGCAAGTACGATTACTCGCCCAAATACTCAGTATTGGCACCGATGCTAGTATCAGTATCGGTGCATCCCTAATCATAACCATGGATTCTTTAGCAGATCACTGCCTGTCTCATTTAAACGATAATTGTAGCTTCAGAAATGATTGCATAGTGGTAATTTGCATTGTCAATTTGTAAATCTAAATCTCAAAGTATGGCCACCTTTTACTGACTGCATATAGAGCCTGCCTGGTACAGGCTGGATTATTGTTCCTGTGGAAATGATTGTGGTTGAGGGCTCTATTCAGTCTGTTGTGTTGGGGAAACTCAAGAACCAAAAAGCAGTGCCATGTGTACGCGTGTTTTAAAACACCACAAAAATCCATGAACCCATCGCACTCCAAAACCACTGTCCCAAAGAGATAAGGGTGGGTGCTGCGGTATTCAACGGCTGGCAACCGTGGTGAATAACTAGTAGAATATACAGAGACACCGGTACTCCAATAGTGAATCAAAATGTTGCATTTAGGGCTTGTTCACACCGAATGCGGTGCGTTCCAGAGCTACAGGTAGCTGCCGGAACGCACCACAATCCCTCACAAAACTTCCTGCGTTCTGGGGAGGGGGGGCGGCGGTGCATTTAATTTTTTGTGTTTGCAGTGGAACGCAACGCAAACAAAGTTTTGCTACGCATCCGATTGCGGGAGGGTGTGAACAAGCCCTAAGTGTATCACACTATGCTACTCGTACGTCAATAAACAGACGTTTTTGATTCACTATTGGAGTGCCGGTGTCTCTGTATATTGTACTTTTTAAACACCACAACATGAAGTGAACCATCTGTACATTGTGGTGTGCTGTCTTCAAGAATCCAGCAATGTGGGTCAAATACACATTAGGGCACGTGCGCTATTGCAGCACAGATTTTTGGATCGGCCCTATATGAGGTTCTGGTAAAGTTTATTGCATTTATATTGTGCATTTGTGAGGCTTGGATCGTGACCTGTAATTGGCAACACAGCGGTGAAGTGATAATTATTAGGGAAATAGTAATATGAGTTGTTGGTATTTTGTTTTTTTTCTCCCTCCCCCCATCATCAACCTATTTTCTGATTCTAGCATATATCTTTCGTTAACAGGATGGTTGAAATTGCTAAAGCCATGGGGCTGAAGATCAGTAAAAGAAATATGTTCTCCGATGTGTCTTTCGAGGAAAGTCACAAGATTGCCATACTGGAGCTCCCACTAATCGTTTACAAACCAGCAGGGGGAATGAAGAAAAAGAGGAGGATGTAGAGAAACTGGGCCAGCCAATGAAACTATCCGATACATTGGGGGAAATGTAACAATTGTGCTTGTGACATATTCATCTTTGCGACTCACTGCACATTGTCTGACATTTGGCATAATATATAAACTCTGGGGTGTTTGTGTCCAGCATTTGTAACATTAATAGACTTCAAAACTATTGCAAATCCTATAATTTGCTCCCAAGCTTTTAGTGTCTCAAAGATAATTTACCTTCACTTCCTCAAGTCAGCTGAGCACCTCGGGACTATTCAGCTGTCATCCTGGAGGTTCCAAGCACGATTGTGACAATTTCGAGACAGAGACAACTTAGAGACAATTCTGATGAAGGCATTTAAGAATAAAACATAAACTAGGATAATGTGTCGCTACATGCACTAGAAATCAGGGATATGGCCATTTAAAAGGCATTGATGCATTCCCCACATTGTTATTGGCACACAGATGTCCCATCAATAAGTTACCATCGTTTGTTACATACCTGAAGGTATGATTTGTATAAAGAGAACTGATGTGTCGTTTGCAGAGTTCCTGTTATTTTTGTATAAAGACCTATTTGTGAAAGTCATTTCTATTGTTTTTGTTCTATAAATTGCCTCATTCATTTGTTTTAATATACCAAAAAAGTATAGATGATATGTTTGTGTCATTGTAATTATTTTAATGTGTGTTCTTAAGCTGGCATCTGACAATTTGGTGCTTTACCTGCACTTTAAACCTGTTTTATTGTAACATTTTTCTTTTTAAAATTCTACTGGCGTCCTTAGAAAATCCAAATGCTGTCCTGATGCATGTGAGTGTATACTCTCAGTTTTGGAGCTGATTTTTTTTTTTTTTTTTGCCAGTGTTTCCTGTGAGTTCAGTGCATATGTCAGGGCCCAGGTCAGAGCCCAGGGCCGAGGATGCCTACCTCTGCTCCTAATGAAGTTAACGACACAAAAAATGTAAATGTGCTAATACAGTGCATCGTGTTGCTCTTTCACCACCCCTCATTGCACAGCCAAAAAGGACATTTTGACGAATGCTAAAACAGAGCATTTTAGCACACTGCATGTGCGAATAGGCCCTTATGCCAGTATGTAAGACTGCATGGCTGGTAGGCTGTAACTCTTTCAAGGCTAATAATTCCTTAAAGCTATGGACACCAGTGGGATGACATCCCTGCTTTGGAATTAGCAGCGTTGTCGATACTGCACAGACACACTCGCCGTAGCTTTGCAGTCACATTACTGCTTGCAGTGGTGGTAGTATGCACAAGTATAACCCTCTGAGCAGGTTCAATGGCCTTTTTCTCTGTTTGGGGAGGGAGCCCAATACAATGTTTTCCCTGTGATTTCCAGTTACGCCCCAATGTGGTGGCTGCGTTTTTATTTGCCGGACTAAGTACATTTTCAGCAAGCACAGAAAATACTTGATATTGTGACCTTGTCATTTTCCTGTGAAATGATCTGGAAGATATTCAAACTGATTTACTAAAGTTATATTTGTGAAAAAGGAAATGGTTTATGTGGATTGACATTGGATAGGGAATGATACCTCTCTTTCCCTATCCAATTAGACTACACAGACCAACCTTCACTCGCCATGTGCATCAGTGGGCCTTAGAAGCCCATGACCCGGATGCTGGTTCACAGGTTTTCATTCCTTGGTAGGTTCTGACCACTGCGGACCGGGACACGAGCTGCAGTTTTGGAGTTGCCCAGTCATCTAGCCATTACAATTTGGCCCTTGTCAAAGTTGCTCAAATTCTTATGCTTGCCCAATTATTCTGCTTCCAACACATCAACATTAGGGACAAAATATTCACTTGCTGCCCAATATATCCCACCCACTTCCAAGTGCCATACAAGATAATCAATGTTATTCACTTCACATCTCAGTGGTTATAATGTTATGGCTGAAAGGTGTGCAGAAGTGTGTTTATAAGAAACCATGGGGGCCTTTCCACCGTGCCCCAATGTGAGTGCTAGTGTAAACCTGTGTTTTTCTTTTGGCGTTATTTATAAAGGACTTACTACTGTGGAATGACAAATGTGAGTAAAATGTTATGCCAGATACTTTGTTGGTGTAATGCAATGCCCAAGGTACCTTTCCCAAGTCTCTGCTGCCATTTAGAGCACACCATTTATTTTTTTTCAATAAATAGTAGATGTTTTCCAACTGGACAAGGTGGAGAGGAGTGGATACTAATTGCGCAGAGGGGAAGCCATGGGAGCCACACCCAGAAGATTACAGCGATCACTGCATGTAGTGTAGCCCCTTTCAGCATCCCCAGTGGCCATCTGAAGATCGGGTACGGATACTAACATTGAGCTAAGTGTACCCTCACTTTCTGTAACTTTCGAGTCTCTCTCTTTGTCAAGCCAGAAGTACTGGCTTGACAAAGGGAGGTACAGAGACTCGAAACGCGTAGCCACAACGACCACTCCACGGACCGCAAGGTCCCCCAGCCTGTAGCTTACTTTTTAACCCCTTGCATAGCGACCACTGCTCCACTGTCAGCACGGTGTACAGCGGTGCTCCTGCTCCCGATCAGCCGACGAGTGGCAGCCTGGCCAGCTGAGCTCTCATTGCACCTGACGGTGAGCGTCCCACTACACGCACAGTGCACTTCGCTTCAACTGGTCATCCGGCCACAAGATTCACCTTCCAACATCCATGGACTGAACAGAAGCCCCACAGCCCGGAGCTCACTCCCACACAGACCAGCCACAGATTCCGCCCTGCGAGCCGTGCTGACAATTAACGGCAAGATACCACCTCGTCCGTCCAAAAGTGAGTCTGCATCAATAGTTACACTATATCTTTTAACTGTTAAACACCCAGTATTCCAGGGTTGTAGCGCTCCTTCTTTCGTTGTTTCACATTGTTGGGAGGACACCCTCCCAATGCCGAGGGCACGTGGCCTGGTAAGGCGCAGGGAGGGGGGGGCGCTCGATCGTCCCCCCCCCTTTCCTGCCCTGCCGGGCCCGTGCTCAGATCAAGGGTCTGGTAGGAATGTTAGGGGGGTTTCCCCTTAAAATTCCTACCAGACATAAAGGGCCTGGTATTGATTTTGGGGGGAACTCCACGCACTTTTTTTTGTTTGGTTTAACTTGGAGGAGGGTCCCTCCTAACATTCCTACCAGACCTCCTCATTTAGTATATGATTGCAATTGTTGTTTTTAGTTCTCCGCATTGGATAGATCCCTGTTGTATCGATCAGGCCCCTTCTATCACCAAAGAGCATTTCTCCCCTCTGATATCGCTCCACTTCACAAGCCATGTGGTATATTAATTTTATTACTTACTACTGACTGTTGTATTTTTATGTCTGTTAAACTATCTGAGAATAAACAAAACTTTTGCCCTACCACCTATTGCCAACCCAACAATGCTGTTATGGTTGTGGACCAGTGACCATTTTTATGACTTTCTCAATGACTAGATTTGCAGGGCTTAGAAAAGGATGTGAAGGTGGTTAGCGAGTTCCATGCAGATCTTTAGGTCAAGTCAATCAGACATAACGGGTATGAACAAAAGTCAAGGGGGGTGTGCTGCCAGTGGCTCTGTCCGGCGTCCCGCCCAGCTCATTGATGTTACCGATTGCCAGGAGTTTGGCGGAAGCGAGCGTCCCGTTCAGCTCCCTGGCACCCAATGATGTCCGTAAGCTGGGAGGGGGCGGGAAGCTGAACAGAGTGTCACAGGTTTTTAAAAGCTACCTCATTATAGGGACAGCCCTGTTCCCAACTATTCA